GAGGCAGGCACCATCATGGCGATGGCAACGACGGGAGCGCGAGAAAGTGTACTTTGGAAGGGAGGTAAGTGTATCAGGCGTGATAAGAGAGCCACGTCTCAGTGATGCATACGAAGGTCAGACAAGCGATATTGGAGATAGATAGGATGAAGTACAATTTTGGAAAAGTGCAGTCGATGATTAGAAGGGCAGGACTATTACCAGTGGTGTCAGGGGAGGTGAATGGAGTGGCTTCTAAAAAGTCGGTAAGCCCAGGGAGGTCAATATGGAATGGAATGGGTAAACTCAACAAGAGGTTATTGAATATGTGAGCAAAGTAGGACCAGGTAAAGGTGTAGGAGAACAAGATGCTGGGACGTGATTTGATGGGTACGGAGACAGTATAGGCGTGGGGGTGAGCATAGCGGGAGTCATTGGAAACGGGTTACAGACCAGGTCGAGCAATCGTTTATAAAGGCAGTATCAACGGCATCAGAGGATGGTACCATATGTGGAAGTTGAAGAGAAATGTTGGAATCGAGGTCACGCTCGATGGACATGCCGGTGTGATGTTTAAGTTAGGATTTACGAGAGGGTTTGTCATGGGCACTAAGGGGGCAGGATTGTCTGTCTTTAAGCACTTTCGGCACCGAACCGTGGGAGGGGTGGAGTTTATCGACAGCTAACTGGGTTCATTGTGAAAAAATATAAGAGGCTTATAGTTAGATATGTAAGGTAAGGCGAAAAGACAGAGTTTATTGAGGAAGCTCGTGGTGTAATCAATTTGTCTGGGGAGTGGAGTGGACTCCACTAGGGGGTGATTAGGTATCCTTTGCTTTGGTTCTAGTGGAGGGGCTTTCAAAACGATAACATGAGACACAGTTGAAGGCCGTAGAAGTGGAGGAGGCGAGGCCGTGGTGGAGTGGCCAGTTGTCGAAAAGGAATCTCGGGCAAATAATTCGCAGGTGGCCAAGAGGGCGGAACTTAATAGAGACTAAGATTAGGCAATAATATTTGCGGGTTGGAAGTCCTGCCAAAGGCATGGGTTTTACGGTTTGAGGGGCAACAGATGTTTATATGTAGAAATCGGGATATGGCAGGGTTGGTACACGACGGGTAAAGGGCAGGTACTCGGAAATTTATTGTGGGATATGGCGTCACTGTACAAGGGTTGACAGCAGGTGTTTGAGCCCGAGGAAGCGCTCTGGTAAAAAGACACGAACTGTCATATGTCAGAAGGTATGGAGGGGCAATCTGTGTCATCTTCCTCGACTGCAGCTTCATGCCCCTGTCGATGGGATACCGCATCTGTTACATCAGCATTCAATCTTGTCGGCATGATGGGATCAGGGATGACGAATGTCGGTACTCAAAGGAAAAACTGTAAGGCCTAGTGTCACGAGTAAGGAATGCGGGGGCTGAAGTCAGCAAGCAGGTTTTTGCGGCACAACGGTGCAAGCCAGGATCCCAGCATGGTGAACATGAAGGAGTGTTGACAGCGTGCCAAAAAGTTTGGAATACCACGTCAACTCCAGCACTGTTTGGGCTTTTGGAGGCTCGAGCAGCGAAGAACCGTCTTTAGTTTTTCGGGGACGGCTTTCGTTCCAATAAAATTTGATGTGATTGCATAATTAGCAGTTTCGATTGGCAGACACATCGCGTTAGTATTTGTAGTGAGGGATTCTTGGCCGCTACGCGCACATCCGTGAAAGGTGATCCGGCTTGTGCAGTTGCCTAGTTGATGCGAATTCTGCGATTAAGTGACACCGACAATATTGGTCGCTTTAAATAGGTACAGAGGAGAGAGATCCGTTTAAAGATTTCAGTGGTCAATTTGAGGTAGTTGAACGATGCACTTTTAGCGCGGAACACCCTAGTAAAATTCCTGTCATTAATTACCTGCTCACCGCAAAGTCCCTTATTAATACACACTGAGTTTTTGGCCTTCAAGTCGCATAGGCAACAAACAGGTAGACTTTTCCAACTATACTTCGTCTGTATCACTATTACCCGCCCTGATATTCGTAGGCCGTTTGACAGTGGTGCCCTCGATCTATAGAAAGGCGGCCTGCCTCCATGTACGTTCATTTCCTTACATATCAGGAGAACCCAAGTTAATAAAACTGGAGATTTCTCTTCGCCACCATTTCTGAACACGAGCAAAGATTTTCAGAGTAACGTGCTTCCCCCACTGTTCTTGCCGTACATAAGTAATATCACTGACTTAATAACCCATATATCTCATTTCCCGTGTGTCGACGATATTATGACAGTAAAATCACCCAGGCCAATGATAATGTCTTTTCTTCATCATACATTCAGTGGAGGTTGTTGCACCAAGGTGCGTTGGTATGTACGTCATCAATTCGGTACCATGGGTTCTTCGCCCATCACCGATGGTTCTTAGGCCAGCCTTTAATTCAGGAAATCCACAAAAGACCACCGAGCTGCTGGTTTGAACTTCTCCGAGTTGTCATTTATCTGGCAGTGCTATGAAATATAACCGTACTTTTGTCTGATTTAAAAAGTATATGGGATAGCCCGTGTATACTTTACGACGCTCATGGACAACATTCTCATACAAGGCCATTGCCGCTATCATCCCACCTAGGGTTAAATCACACCAAGTCTACTTCGTCCTCCCTGATCCAGGAAGTAGTCATGTACATGGAAATATATAAAGACCATATTAGTTCCTGATCTCCGATCTGATCGTACCTCAGCATTTTTCTGTCATTTTTCCCTGATTGGTTTTGAGAATCTTTGGTCTGATTCATATCTTACTGAATAAAAATCAGTAAAATTTAACCCCTCAAGTGGTTTATTCCATAGGGCACGGTGGCTTAGATCATTCTTGACGATGGCACATTGGAGAAGTTCAAGGTCTGCAAAAGGTTACCGCGAAATACAGCTCCATGTATAGTAAGGCTTGTCGGATATTAAATTTCTCCCTTATTATTCTTGGCTTGTGAATATTTTCTTCCTTTACACTTTGGTTCAGAGTCACCTTCAGAGTGAATAAATATGTAGTTTTACTCAAAACTTGAATTTAACAACAGGGCTTTACCTCATTTGACTGTTAGCTCCGTGTTTATTGGTGGTACTAACTGCTGGATGTACTACTAAAGTGCTAATTATTCTACCATTTCACCTCTATCTTGAGTAGTTCGTAGGCAGAAAATCTTCGTCCAAAAAGCGGTTAATTCCACGAAACATCTGATTTCCTTCGAGTGTGCGAAAAATATGTGGAAGTTCCAGTGGACAATCGGCCAATATCAGATTAGACTGTACTTTCTTACTGTTTTCACGTGAAGGCCAAATTTTGCCCTTTCGCGTTTGTTCAGGTTTATGGTACTGTAACGCAGTTGAGACTTGGCTGCATCGGCTTGCACGTCTATCAGAAGACCTTATGTGTGCCTCTCTCTCTCCCTATTGCAGGTAGCACGGACGAGCCACCACGAGCCTCGGGCAGGAGAGTAACCCTCTTGTACACCCCCTGATTGACCTTGACCTGACCTTGTACCCCCGTCTTCCGGTTTCGGTTTCGCTTTAATACACGTGTGTTGGTGCCACGCTCCGGTGTTCTTTCTGTGTCACCCGACTTGTGCGAATGTGTGCTGTGTGTGCCGTATGGATTCCGTAATACCCAACTCTATATCTGCATATTTCAGAACCGTCGTGAGCCGTCGCTACATCCTCTCGAACGTCGAATACCGCTGACTTCCTGACGTCCCACGTTACAGTACCAGTATATGCGTCCATTTGAACTCATCCGCAATCATTGGATAAAAGTGGTGTGTTTTGTGAGCCTGGACATGTGTAATGGAAAAATCATATGTTCGCTATATTAATTACATTATTTGATAATGAATAATAACAAATACATTGGCGAAGTACACTCAGTTGCAATTTGTTTCTGCGAAAGACTCACCTGGAACCCAGCTGAATCTCTCTTTTGTGATGTTCCCATGCGTTTCCATTAGTAATGCAATACGAATATACATGTATCGCGATATCTTGAATATCGTAGCAGCTGAAACATGAGGCGGCCTAGTGCAGCACATTCAGTTGCATGGAAACATCACAAACGAGAGATTCAGCTGGGTTCCACGTAACTCTCTCGCAGAACCAAATCTGTTCGCAGATGATTGTACTTCGCTAATTTCGTGCAATTTGGTTTCAAGTAAAACCTAGGGTTGGCGGAAACTCGGGGACTGTGTCTACCTGATGAGCCCGAAGAAGGACAAAGCTGGTCATGAGCTGATGAAGAATCTTCAGCAACTTTACACGTAGTGAAATAAACACATTAATTAATACATTGGTACGGCAATATATTAATTAATGAGATATGAATTTCCGCCCTTTCCTTCTTCGTTCAGTTAAGCCTGCAAGGAAATAAGAAGTTTTGGACACTGTCCAGAGGCACAGAAATCTGTACCATAAAAATGACGAAACCTTAAGCATCATAGTGATAGGAACCAGAGTAAAAACCTGCCTAAGCGTTCTGCGTGTATGGTTTTGGCAGTAATGTAGTTGCTTAAATAATATTCTTCCACTACTTGGGGACAAAATGATAAAAGAGGGTTGAGGGATGTGAAGGTGTACCCAGATATAATTCATCAAATTCTCGAGTCCCATTCATGATGTGACTGAAGCACGTGGCACTCGTTTTTTTTTTTGCACTAAAGCCCAGAGCCGAGATAGCTCAGTGGCTAAGGTGTAAATTTACTGATCGGAATGTCCGACATCTCGACCGCTCCTGAGTTGGTTTGCTCTATCTGGCTCTATCTCAGCCCTCGTGATTCTTTCGGGTAACACGGTATCTTTCCATAGAGCTCTACAGCTGAAAGACCCTACCTAACCAACAATACATCTCGAATGTACTTCATTTATCTTGAGAAAATGGACCTTTACAATAGGACAATTTCGGAAAGAGGACGGCTGATGAGCTGAGAGACCTGTACATAGAGTTTAGTTTTACCATCCCCACATTGCTAATAAACGCAAGTATTTAAAAGTCCTTTGGGTGAGGTAGTGTTATATGAATGGGGATTACGAAACAAGTGTTGCCAGAAGCAAAGAATTGCCGTATATACCGAAAATCAGCACAACTATGTATGAATCAGACATCATAAAAAACGGGTACAAGTTTTTCATGACAATCGGTAGAACAACATACAATCCACTGGCAGGGATATAATTCTCTAAATAAGCGCATTGGTGAATGATTGGCCTTCCTCATGTTAGGCTTCGTTTTTCCCTGGTTCATTGTGGTACAGGTTGTGCCTTAGACGACGTCGACGGGATTCATCACCAGGGGCGTATAGACTGTCAGACATTTTTCCGTTTGCCCCGCCATTCCCTCGACCACGCTTTATCTGACTAAAATGGATCTGGAACGATCGGGTAAAGAAATGTTTACTCAAGAAATAGGAAGGACAGAAAAACGTCGTCGAACTGGATATACTCATAAAATCTATCTCAGAATCCAACTAGGACGCAACAGATGCTTGGTCACATATAGGGCTAGGGAATGCAACCGAATGTAGTAGACAATTGGTAGTTGTTTTAAAAACACATTAATCCACTATCTTGAGCAAACCTTGAGGGCTCGGTATGAAAAAGTGTAACAATGTGCCGATATGATACAACACCGGTGGCTAGGTGGGCAGAAAGTGCAAAATTCTGGAATATCACGCTTTGGGCTTTCGTTCAGAAGAGTGCAATCTACGATCGCGTTGGTTTCGTGTTCATATTTATCAATGTCGCCATACTTGGCTGGCACCATGCTCTCCAAAGATCATTCGTTGGCTAACCAGTCGTCGTTTATGACTTGGATACTGTAGTGTTTATAAAATTAGGCATTCATTCACACAAGAAACTTCTATTTTGAGTGAAGACAACACAGACTGCTAGAATACTCTTATCTGCCTCACTGGATTTTTTCCCTTAAGAAATCAACAGGTTTACTGTTGATGACAAATGGTGATTTTACCTACGTGATTCCGGTTATCATCTCTCCATGGCGATGGTCTCAGCAGTTCTGCATGCTACTGTTGTGGTAACATTAAAGTCTGTGTTTAAACAAAGGGTGATGAATGGTTCAGGCGGTGTATGGGCGACCCCTGATTTATGTCAGACGCAGATAGATTCAGCTCGCAAGCCCCCTCACGTGTGCCGGTTTATATTCAGTCATCTTCAGTTGAAAGTGCATCTACGTTCTGTCCAAGTTGGTGGTCAAACACCAGGACTTTGGGCGACAAATGACATGGGGTTTGGGGAAGCTGATATTGATAGTTGGTCTGCCACAACAGCAGTTCGATTGCATCTGTGGAGCAAAACTGACCTTGTACCGTAGTATATGCGTTGAAAGACACATGGTAGTCTGCATCTTACTAGTTCATTGATATCGCCGTTAAAAAGTAGACATCGGACAAATTCAGGCCTTCGGATGAATCGGATGATGGTGGCATTTGAGCGTTGGATGTTGACTTTTCACACCAGCGTTTGGGAATAAACATCTGGGGGAAATAGTTCATCTAGGTGGCCAATATCAGGTTGTATAGTTCAGTGGGGGCGAGATGGCTCAATGGTTATAGCGTGAATTTACGGAGCTGAAGGTTCGCGGTTCGAACCCGACCCCTGTTTCTCGACTTCTCTGTCTAGAATCGGCCAACCTGGAAGTATACCTTCAAATGGCGTGGCAACCAGGCACTGACAAGGAGTTACAGCTGAACGATCATCCCTTATTTGTCTAGTTCATGTGAGAAGATCCTTCCAGGGTCCGTGATACATAGTGCGCTCCAAACCGCGTTTCTATTTTACTGGGATGAAACTTGTCAAGTACAAGTTTGGTCACTCCATGAAAAGCTGCAGTAGATGGTTCTAAGTACGGTACTATCTTCTAACCCACACTGAAATGCTATGCTCTCATTCGTTCTATGCTGTACACCCAGATATTAGGGTTTCGCAGGAGGTTCAATAAACTCTCCCTCACTCTTCGTCTTTGTGAGTACTAGTAATCATCAAACCATAATCCGCGAAATTCGCCCAGAGGGCAACCTCTGGGCGTTGTTTGTTGTTTCCTCTTTCATACTAGCAATAAGAATATCTACTAGAACTTCCACTGACAGTCGCGCTAGTCGGTTTATGGGAAGATCTTCGAAATAAAAATAACATTCGTTTTCTTGAGATTTTGATAACAATCGGTAGTTTTGTTGCTAGGCAACGTTTGGCTTTTGACACAAAAGTTTCGTCAGGCCAAGTGACTACGCTACGACGTTCGTCGAGATTTAAGCCAGAAGGGGAACCAACCAGTCAAGCTAAATCAGTGTTAGGTGTCGGCCAGGGGGTTTTGTGTGTTAGGGTGGGTCACCATGTGTTAAGCTGGTCCACTTCTTCCAGCTTGGTCCACATGGTGATCCTCTTGAAAGTCGTGTGCACTTTTTGTCCGCATGTGTTAATGAGCTAGCTGTGTAAGGAAAGGGGATTCTGTGAACTTTGGTCGGGTTGGGATTTCCACCTCACCTCCCCTCGTTTTTGCTAATGATTCTACATGAATTGACAACCACACACAGTCACGTGACAACTCGACTTTTCTAAGACCGCTTTCCATGTGCTTGCCAGTTTCACAGCCTCGTTTCTATTCACGATGTGATGCTTGGTAATTCCCACCGCCATTGTGGTGTGAATGTCCTGTGTCTAAGGCATGTACGGTCAAATGTACGGTCAAATGTTGGTTAAGTTCAGAAGTCTCCGAATGACCTCCGATGTTCCTGCTTTATATTGAATGACTGCTGTGCAAATCAATTCACCACTGGCTTTAGCTAACGGAGCCAATATCCTTCTTGACTGCCCCTAATCAAACTCACTGGATAGCCTATTTCTTGAAGTCTGTTGGCAATCTGGATTTGAGCCACTGTTCGATCGACCACTTCTGTGCACAGCGCTCTGACTCGACCAGATAATGGTGAGACCATGCTGGTGTACACGAACTTTTGGTTTGCTGACGAGTAGTTTAATACGGTTCCTGTGTCCGCTGGTTTCTGATAGATAGTACTGTTAAATTTTCCACCACTTTTATGTGTCATACAGTCCAGGAAGGGTAATGCGCTTAAGGTGGACTCTACCTCCTTGCTAAACTTGATGTGGGAATTTAAATGATTGAGCTAGTCGTGGAAGCTGTTCACGTTGTCCCGTTTAATTGCGACAAAGGTTTCGTCAACATAATGCCGAAAAACTTTCGGAAGACAATGATATCCGGCCAAGACTGTTTGTTCGAAGTCTTCCATATAAATATTAGCTAAGACTGGGGATATTGGCAATCCCTTTGCAAGACCTTGTTCTTGTTAATAAACAGTTGTGTCAAAAACAAAATGATCGAGATTAAATGCACCTATATGTCCTCAACTGTTTCACATCTTCCGCAGAATAGAATTAGATGTCCGTTCGTCTCTTAGTTAGCCAAGTTGGACCTTATGGTGTTCGATGAAGTAACTTAGAATCTGTGGCCACATATGAGGGTGGATAAGTGTTAAGCGAGGTAAAACTCATGATGACTAAATTTTTATTGCACATTTCCTGATTGGGTAGACTTGTTGTATGCTTGCTGGGTTATCTTGGGTTATTGAGGAGACTGTAGGAAATCACACTATGATTGTCTCACCAAAGAGATTGATAGTTGGTCTGCCACAACAGCAGTTCGATTGCATCTGTGGAGCAAAACTGACCTTGTACCGTAGTATATGCGTTGAAAGACACATGGTAGTCTGCATCTTACTAGTTCATTGATATCGCCGTTAAAAAGTAGACATCGGACAAATTCAGGCCTTCGGATGAATCGGATGATGGTGGCATTTGAGCGTTGGATGTTGACTTTTCACACCAGCGTTTGGGAATAAACATCTGGGGGAAATAGTTCATCTAGGTGGCCAATATCAGGTTGTATAGTTCAGTGGGGGCGAGATGGCTCAATGGTTATAGCGTGAATTTACGGAGCTGAAGGTTCGCGGTTCGAACCCGACCCCTGTTTCTCGACTTCTCTGTCTAGAATCGGCCAACCTGGAAGTATACCTTCAAATGGCGTGGCAACCAGGCACTGACAAGGAGTTACAGCTGAACGATCATCCCTTATTTGTCTAGTTCATGTGAGAAGATCCTTCCAGGGTCCGTGATACATAGTGCGCTCCAAACCGCGTTTCTATTTTACTGGGATGAAACTTGTCAAGTACAAGTTTGGTCACTCCATGAAAAGCTGCAGTAGATGGTTCTAAGTACGGTACTATCTTCTAACCCACGCTGAAATGCTATGCTCTCATTCGTTCTATGCTGTACACCCAGATATTAGGGTTTCGCAGGAGGTTCAATAAACTCTCCCTCACTCTTCGTCTTTGTGAGTACTAGTAATCATCAAACCATAATCCGCGAAATTCGCCCAGAGGGCAACCTCTGGGCGTTGTTTGTTGTTTCCTCTTTCATACTAGCAATAAGAATATCTACTAGAACTTCCACTGACAATCGCGCTAGTCGGTTTATGGGAAGATCTTTGAAATAAAAAAATAACATTCGTTTTCCTAAAATTCTGATAACAATCAGTAGTTTTGTTGCTAGGCAACGTTTAGCTTTTGACACAAAAGTTTCGTCAGGCCAAGTGACTACGCTACGACGTTCGTCGAGATTTAAGCCAGAAGGGGAACCAGCCAGTCTAGCTAAATCAGTGTTAGGTGTCGGCCAGGGGGTTTTGTGTGTTAGGGTGGGTCACCATGTGTTAAGCTGGTCCACTTCTTCCAGCTTGGTCCACATGGTGATCCTCTTGAAAGTCGTGTGCACTTTTTGTCCGCATGTGTTAATGAGCTAGCTGTGTAAGGAAAGGGGATTCTGTGAACTTTGGTCGGGTTGGGATTTCCACCTCACCTCCCCTCGTTTTTGCTAATGATTCTACATGAATTGACAACCACACACAGTCACGTGACAACTCGACTTTTCTAAGACCGCTTTCCATGTGCTTGCCAGTTTCACAGCCTCGTTTCTATTCACGATGTGATGCTTGGTAATTCCCACCGCCATTGTGGTGTGAATGTCCTGTGTCTAAGGCATGTACGGTCAAATGTACGGTCAAATGTTGGTTAAGTTCAGAAGTCTCCGAATGACCTCCGATGTTCCTGCTTTATATTGAATGACTGCTGTGCAAATCAATTCACCACTGGCTTTAGCTAACGGAGCCAATATCCTTCTTGACTGCCCCTAATCAAACTCACTGGATAGCCTATTTCTTGAAGTCTGTTGGCAATCTGGATTTGAGCCACTGTTCGATCGACCACTTCTGTGCACAGCGCTCTGACTCGACCAGATAATGGTGAGACCATGCTGGTGTACACGAACTTTTGGTTTGCTGACGAGTAGTTTAATACGGTTCCTGTGTCCGCTGGTTTCTGATAGATAGTACTGTTAAATTTTCCACACTTTTATGTTGTCATACAGTCCAGGAAGGGTAATGCGCTTAAGGTGGACTCTACCTCCTTGCTAAACTTGATGTGGGAATTTAAATGATTGAGCTAGTCGTGGAAGCTGTTCACGTTGTCCCGTTTAATTGCGACAAAGGTTTCGTCAACATAATGCCGAAAAACTTTCGGAAGACAATGATATCCGGCCAAGACTGTTTGTTCGAAGTCTTCCATATAAATATTAGCTAAGACTGGGGATATTGGCAATCCCTTTGCAAGACCTTGTTCTTGTTAATAAACAGTTGTGTCAAAAACAAAATGATCGAGATTAAATGCACCTATATGTCCTCAACTGTTTCACATCTTCCGCAGAATAGAATTAGATGTCCGTTCGTCTCTTAGTTAGCCAAGTTGGACCTTATGGTGTTCGATGAAGTAACTTAGAATCTGTGGCCACATATGAGGGTGGATAAGTGTTAAGCGAGGTAAAACTCATGATGACTAAATTTTTATTGCACATTTCCTGATTGGGTAGACTTGTTGTATGCTTGCTGGGTTATCTTGGGTTATTGAGGAGACTGTAGGAAATCACACTATGATTGTCTCACCAAAGAGACTAGTAAACCAGAAAGTGAGTAAACAATATGTGCAACGTATACAATATTTGCAAGTGAATATAGGTGACAGCTGTGAATTACTGACCAAAGAAAAACCATTTAACTAGTTTAGAATCAGATTCCGTACTTTCTTAACAAAATTGGCTAAAAGTAGGTAACCGACTGCAGAAATTACGTTGTCCGGATCATTTCAATCAAATAACTCCTGATTTATCCGAGAAATACGAACCATCCTAACTGCGCCAGAAAGATAGAGGCAGATTATTTGAGTAACCAATCTTTCATCTATAGAATCTAGGCATGGAATGCACATTGCACCAACTGAAGCAATTTCCTCCCACGGCTCACCCATATATTCAACTTATGGTCTTTAAACTGTTTCACCATGCAAGTACCAAAAACCGAGTACATTATCTGTCAAGGTCGCTCCTCAAGGAGTCAGCCCAACCGTGCCCTGCTATCTCTTACATCTACGTGTCATATGGGCTTAAATACAAAATTTTACTTTAGTCAGTTAACTAAGTGACAGTCCCACACAAACCATCAATCCTGCCCATCGTTACACCGAAAGCTGATTGAGCTCTATGTGGTCATTGAAAGCCAAATCAGACAAGCCATTGCTGTCCCTGCATCAGCGACGAACATCGGCAAAGCAATACTGGTAAGCTTGTCTTGGTCACTTTGTCCTCGTGGTTGATATTCATACAGCTTCGATCAAAATAAGCTTTTGCTCAGTTATATTGGTTCCTTCATTTTTCAGTTTAACAAATGCAAGTAGCTTACTGAAATCCACCGTCCTCAGTCTCTTTAATTACAACAAGAACGTTCATATGCTTTTACTGCAAGAGTCGAACTGATCGATTTGGCCTATAAGCCTTTTCTCAATACTGACAAAAATTGGATACAATTTTACTGCCCCTGAGAAATAAAATCCTAGGTGTGTTGTGCATCACGAATATTTCACGGACCGTAGTTTGATCACTGCCCTGAGATGAGCTTTGATTTGGGATCCAACCACTTCCAGAAGACAGAATGAAACGTTGGCCACTCAAGACGAAACCCAACTATGAGGGAAATCGGTTGTGTATTTCGTATGACCGATCAAAGCTTTCAAGTCACCTGCGCATGACATAACTTTCATTAGAAGGAACTGCAACATTAACGCGTCCGCTCGATTAATGAACAAGTTTTTACCAAAAGATCAACCACGGCGATCTGAGCAACTACGAATAACCAGTATCCCGGTAAAATTCCAACAACCTAAATTTGGTCAGTTCAAATACGAGCTGATGATATTCACCTGAGCGTCCCAATCGGTCAAAACAGAGAACTGGCTGAGTGTAACTAACCAACTTTATCGTTTAAATAGAACAGTATCATCCAGCCCTACGTTGACAGAGCCTGCGTTCAACTGATAAGCCCTGGGGTCTTACCTGCAGTAGACAACACCGCCCCTGTTTGCAACAAATACAACATGGTGTGGTCAAAACTACATTGCATTGTTGTCTATTCACTCTAGGCAGTAAATTATTCTCTTACAAAGCAGAATCCTTCGTGCACATCTAGGTGCGTGTGCACGCGTGTGGTTTTGAAATCGAGCCGCGTCCCAAACATCCGATTCCATAAAACATGGCGCCGCAGCTTCCACATGTGTGTACACTCCTCCTGGAAGCACATGAATAGTGCACTACTAGGGCGAATAGCTTGGTGCAGATGGAAGTATGGTAACGAAGTACAAAGTCACTCACCCCAACTTTTTCGGCTTGTTGCATGAAAGCGGACATACATTCGAGAAGGCAGGTGAAGCATTCATTCTGAAAAAAACCGATAGGTTTGGCATTAGTAAACAAAACGGAAAATCCGGTATAACGTGACGGACTGGCAGATTGTGTCTGTGTGTTGGATGTTGATTGAATGCATTTTTGCACATGTGTATTTTGCGGGAACGTATCCACAGATTCTCCCCCAGGGATAAAAAAAATAATATATTAAAAAATGTAACGAGTCAACCATGCGTTCGAAATCGACCACCCAATGAGAAAACATTTCAGCCGTCGAACATGCATTGACTGAAAAGTAAGCAACTTCCTGTCAGCACTTTTCACCTTACATTGATTGTTAATCAATAGTGTGGGAAATAATAATTACGGCTTCGTCACTTGATCGTAAAACTTCATTATTTATGAAACATTTTTGAGGGGAATATCTTCATTAGAGTGAGTGTGTTTGTCGAATTAGGCAAATGAAGCAGCCAGGAGTCACCAAGTTCCAGGTCGCTTTTGACCGACACAAGTCGAGCATCAATCTATCAGCGGTTACTGGAGATCCACATAGGTCATAGGTGAATTTGCATAGTGTAGGTACCTCAACTTCTACAGTAACTAGAATCCTTAGAATATGACAAAAGTCACAATTGCAAGCCCGATGTAATCCGTTTTATGAACAATAAAATTATAGCACCACAAAACTACACGAATTCGATTAGACCTCAAATCAGAGCAGAGGGTCACAGTGTCCTTTGCCGATTGCAGAGATTTGCATGCGCTTCTGGATACTCATGAAACTTATCTGAGTAGTGCGAAAATTGCCACTGTCTGGCGCAAATAAAACCCACTGAAAGAAAACAAAGATCTGGTCCGAATTTCAGTGAGTCCAATGCTTTGAAATACTGAAGAATCGCGAGGATTGAAAGGTTTTGCTTTAAACAGCCCGAAGAGAGCAACATTGAACCCAAGTTTTGATCCGATTGGAGAGGTTTGTCCATGCCGAGAGAATTCAAAGCGTCTGACATGCGAGGCAAGCGTGCTGCAGATACTTTCAGTAGAGTGGCATTCTGGAAGACAGCTAGAACATTGCTTCCGAAAAAACGGGTGTATTCATGTTTGAGTTGCGCACTTGGCCAGAAGATTCAGTGCACGTCCTGGCTCTACAGGTGATTAAACTTCTCATGTTGAACAGAGGGCTGAAGCGCCCAACTTTAAACGAGAAGTATAACTGCCTCACTTACTGCTTGTTTCTTCTGGAAAGGAAAATCGTATTCAAGCAAACATCGCAATTCTTCAACCATACTTTGAACGCCATCTCCTCACATCAAGTGCTATCACTAAGCAGGGAATCTAACTAGTCACTTGTTTCGCCCACCTCGGTCACATCTAGCTGATTACTTAAACTTCGGAATGAAGAAATGTCAATCTGCGGGTTTATCGGCCATATTATCATAACCAAATTCGTTTTAATTAACCCGTCACGTGCAGAGCCCTGACAGACAAAGTGCGAACGACAACTGCGTCAGATACAATATTTAGCCACCTGAAATATGACTCCGTTTCAAACGAAAAGAAATTTTCTTTGTCTTTCAAAACCCTATTTGATGTCATCCATGGTAACTGAGGGGAGCTGACCACATAGGCACAGGCTAGAATAATATTCTACTGATTCACTCGGTTGATCTGCCAAAGTTCGGAGGAAGTGTAGAGAACTACTGAGGTACGGAGTTTAGTAAGTTCTAAATGACCAAGTGAACTAACTGACAGAAAACGAATTTAGGTCTCCGGCAAACTATTCGAAGTTTTCTTCAAAATATACTGGGTAAGTGTTTGGCTTAGCATAGCATGAGTGCTGTTTATCACCGAACAGTACACACAATCCACTTAGTCTGTATTGAGAGTGTAAGGAGGGTGACGTACCATTGTATGCAACATACCAGATAAGAAAGATAGATAAAATAAGTTGATAACCATATCTGTTCAAACTTCAAATTTTGAATGAAATATAGTCTTTTACCGAAAGGATCTTTATCTTGTTGACTGATTGGTTCTGACAGTTACTCATCAACCTTAACTAAAACGGTTGACGTCCGACTCAGAAAATTACGGAAGGCAGATAGACTGGGTATAAAAATACGAAAAAAAAACATCGCGCAGTCATTCTTTTGGTAAACACGTAGCATTGTTGGTTGTTGATCAGGTGGCTGTTGATCTGTTCGCCGAGCTTGGCAATTGGCTTGCAAACGTTTCGTCACCATACGAGGAGACATCATCAGTGCGCGGTTGGCTGGGTACTTCTTCCTTGACTGCGTGTGTTTATATATCCGTCAAAGGATATCTGCTAACTTCTGACGTGATTGGCTACTTGAATTGTAACGAATTTAGTGAATCTATTGGCCCGTTTGTGATCTTTGTTGCGTTGAGGTCTGTGTTCTTTTGTGTTGATTGTAGGCCTGGTGATGATCAGGTCAGTAAACGAAGAATTTTATTTACCTACAGTCAAACAGGTTCAACCGGTGTGTAAAATTGGAAGGTGCTTAATAGGACAGAAATCAGAGCGAAATTCGTCTTATTCTGGGAACATAGAAAAGGATGTATCTTTGCATAGAGAATTCAGGAATTAATTGACCTGGAAACGAGTCAGTGGTTAAGGCGTGATCTTACCGACCCGGGAGTTCGTGGTTCGAAACCAATCCGGGCATCTCTACTCCCCCTGTTTGGACTTGGGAAACCTAGCAATAGGTCAGCCATGTTGCTTCTTTCGGGTAACACGGCAGCGGTTTAATAAAAGGATTTTTCAGCTGAACAGTTAGTGCCCCATTATCGCTTATAATTTGAGAACTAATACTTTGGAAACACGCGATATCAAACAGGACTATAATTGGCTAGTCACGAGTCCGTGAATCTGGTGAGGGCTTGCGAACCATGCATACTTTGCACAAAGACGACCTTGAAAAATTGATGCGGACATGGAATATTGAGCATTACTGATGATTCTCCAGTCCACCTAAAAGGAAGCTCATCAACGCTAGATTAAGAGAATTCCCATTATAGACCTAGGTTACAACACAACCGATATAATCTTTGTATCCACCCATTTGGCCACATTTAAGGCCGTCAGATTTTTCGCTTATGCTACAAGTTTCAGTAGTGAGGCGGAAGTCGAATGCCTATTCTTGGGGTAAGACATTCATTTTACTCATATACAGTCGCTTTAAGAAAAGGATGCCGGCAGCTGAGAAAGCTTCCATAAAGTATGTGTTTCCACGCCATCCAGTCAGAAACTCTCGCATCCGCCGATCATCAAACTTCAGCGTCCAAAATGGGCAATCCAGTTTTGGCGCGCATCATGTTAGAAGAAGAGATTTCAGACGACTCCATTTGATGTGCGTCTTGGGAAATTAGGAAAAGATTGCTTGAAGGGAAGGAGAGAACACATCAGTGGAGCCCCAAGCCATAAAACTGCGCTTTTCACTTATTATGCTTTTTTTCTAAAGTCATTATAGGAAACAAGTGTTTATGCAATAAACTGAGTGGGTGAATTCAATTCATGCCGAAAAGACGGACTGCTGAGAAGCGCCGTCGGCTTATTGATTCATATTGGATTACATACGCTGTGCACACATCTTCAGTCTTTGCGACGAGGAGTTTGGAGGTTCAACAGTCGGCCACGGATGGTTGATAAGTCATTAGCACAACGCACGCACTCATCCTTCAACTTTTTGTTCCATATAGACTGATGTGAGTTTAAACGATGAGATTCGTGTGATCATTCTCAGCTACTAAAATAGTACAGATGTAGGTTGTTTCTCGGTTTTTCAGGCACAGATTGAGTTCACTTGTAGGAGAGCTACACGGTCGAACCTTAAGAATTTCCTCACCATGTTTGGCGTTCGAAGCACCTTTACTGAAATAGCCAGAAAGTATCATTGGAGTTAATATCGATGATTTTAAAGGAACTCGCAAACAGAACAATAGGTTTCGTGCCTACAGGATTGCAAAGTCTGTTTTGCGAATCTCAGATGGAGTATGAGGTGTTAATCTAGGACTCGAGTGGATCTTCAAGCACATATACTATGCAGGAGCCACCTCGTGGTTTAGTTGAGTAGCTACTCGAAATGCCTTGACATTTTTCACCTAGGTTCAAACAGTTCGAACATTAACCTAATAAGCAGAGACAAATTATTAGCAAAAGGCCCCATTTCATTAGCAGTTCTTTTTCGAAAAAATGGTTTGGGACAGCGGAATCTTGCTGAGGGGCAAGATTCTAAGATTCAAGATATCCAATTCACTTTAATTTGGTAGGTAGTCACTTTATAGACGGTTGTTAATTTGTTCATTACTTATGTACATCGGGACTGACAGTGCAAATCCCTCAGTTATTTACCACCTTACGTAGAATTTCTTAGTACGCAGCCAGAGTACAGAAGAGCATTCACGAGTTCTATATGTTTTAATAAACTTGGCTGAATAGGTAGAGCAACAGTGGCTCTTCTAAATAATGGTTTATTACCGTTCCTTCAAGAATTATGCTTCTAAAAGGTACTGCTCTCTTAGCGTTAGTCAAAAAGTTTTTTTAGTGTATTCAGTAGGCCAATAGTTCCACAAACACCGTCACGTCGTTTGTGATCCATTCCGAGAGGCTTGTTGACTACGACACCCTTTAAGACTTGAAGTAAAACGAATAAAAGTGTAACCCGGCCTCACAGAAAGATTAGCCCTGACCTCCGCATATATGAGCATATTTTACGCAGTGTTTCTGTTTTGCTGATATTTTTGGTATGACCGTCTTGAAGAAAAGATGCTTTCTCCTGTTGGTGGAAATCGGGCCAGTATCGGAGATGAAACTGGCTGACCTGCAATGAAATTCGGATGAACAAACTTATGGTGTGTATTTCCCTCCAAGAAGTGTCAAAATGATGGATTGCACCGATTTCAACGAGTATTTCTTCAGTTCTCCCTCTCACACATTCAAATGGTGGGGTGTGATGGGAGCCAACATTGTATCATACTCCAGAAGTGGAAAATAGGGAGATATTGTCATGAAAAACACATTGAAAGACCTAAAGAGTTTTTAATTGTTTATCATTGGAACTCTCTACCTGGGCAAAATTTTCACGGGTTCAGTTAAAACCCTTCAGTGCTTGGGTTTATAGAAGGTATAAACAGATACCACCATGTGTAAATCACATAAGGAACTCCAAATGATCATGAGAGTTTCACGCTGGACATATGGGTGGTAGATTACTGGTGGATTGACAGAGAATTTAAATGCATATGCTTGGGGTGGATTACATTTCGGGGTAAATTAGCTGGTGGAAATGACCAAGAAATTGGGGAGTCTACCATGCTTCCAGAGTTTGTGCTTTCATCTATCCATTCAATGTGCTGCAATTAAAGCCAGTCTACGTTGAAGGGCAAGATACACTCTTCAAGAGATTCATCAGTTTTGTGAATTGTTAGATCCATGTGAAATCAAAACCTCGATATTCCGCTTAGCGATAGAAAAATGCACTATTTAGCAACGAATGGGTGATCAGTATTGCAAGTGACTCTCACACAAAAGGCACCAATACACTTGAATCAAACATATGGCGTATCGTGATTCGGCATCAGCTGGCTGCTGGAAAAATCGGGGGTATGATACCCGAGTTTTGTAGGATTATTCCTTTTTTTCTGGAACAAAGTCCATGTCAACAAGGCTGGAAAAACTACAGACATCCCCGAGGTTTCCGGCATAGACTAGTGCCACTCCAAGGACTAAATCCCCTATTAAACTGCAAAATATTTTTACGACGGACTTATCATAATTGATATTGCAAGTTGCGAATAATTCTCAACATATCGCAACCTTCAATGCTTTGTAAAACAAAATTGCATATTTTGTCATCAGTAAGTCAGTGGAAGTGTCTGAACCGGTCTTTGACAGTGCAGATCGTAAAGGTCTATGAAGTAATGGCTCCGTGCATCTGTGGGTCTGAGCATGCAGCGTGCAAAAAAATCCAAGAAAATAAGATAATGCGTTAATATGTGCTTTGTAGCAAACTTTGGAGCGTTTAAGGTGTAGGATTTTTTCCCAGATAGTTTGTAGTTCACAGGCTGAAGAATGCATTAAACTTAAGGTTAAAATAGTCGTTTTAATCTTTTATCTTCAGCCGCCGTATCTCGGAGCAGTTTAAAAATACTCTGCACATACAGAGCAATATTTTAGTAATTTGTGCTATTCAGAATTTGCTTTGATTATCTTACTTGAGATCATCTTCCTGACTTAGCTAAACATCTTGATCAGTTCCGGCAGATGGATTAGCATCGATTCCGTTCCAGCTATGTACGGACAGTAATCTAGTTTAGGTTGTATCTGAAAGATAATCACACCGGCTCTAAAGACCTGTTGACGTCTAAAACCTGAATTCTTCCACGAAAGGAAAAGTGTTGGATAGGAGAAATGGTCAAAATATTTAGGGTTGCTGTCAACCAATACATTTCTGAAGAAATAACTTGCGCACCACAATCCATGGTCCGTTTAATCTCATCCGCAAACGCTGAATTAAAATGAACATGCAGTTTCTATCCATTGACTTGAGCTAGTTGAGGTAGCATTGTTCTAACGACAAACATGCTACCGCTACACGATATATTTCATTCCCAATTGCACTTACTTCGTGGGAAAGGAATGCAAAAAGGCTGTGGTTACATTTGTTTGAACAATCCCTTCGACATTCGATGAATACTTTGAGTTGCACTGAAAACATTTTTGAAGGGAAACAGGGAATTGAAAATAAAGACAATATTTATTAATCGTTCTCAGATTTGTCTTTTAAAAACGTTGCTATCCTGGGTGCATGTCTTTCTCACAAAGAAGTAAAGTTTTTTACAACTGAATGTTCGAAGAATATTCGAGGTGTAACCACAACAGTAACAAAAAATTTCGTGGAGTAATTTGAATTCACTGGAAGTTAGCACTCTTTTTATTCAATAAATCCTCAGGTCCTCATGCGACAGAAGTGTCATTACTAATTCATTTGGGAGCATTGCGAGCGTAGCCACTCTGATAACGGCGAATCGATCTAGAGGCAAACAATGAACCTGGCGTATTTCAAGCACAGTCCGCCGGTGAATTAGGCTCACCGCCGCAAACCTCCCTGGATGGTTGAACACACTGGCAGTGGAAAATGCGGACCTTCTGACACCTTAGCATCCCATGCCCGTTGCAGCAGACCAGTGCCCCTAGCTCCATCACTCTTCAGGGACGTGGCACCCTACAGAGACGTAACATTTCAGTGTACATTTTTCGTCTTCCGGGTAGTACAGTATTGGCAAACGCTTACATTCAAAGCTTTTGTTCAGTATTGGGCCGAAACGTGTTCATTAGTCTTATTTAAAGAGAACGAGAATATGTGAAGAACGTTAGGCCGTATGGGACACAGACCAAAGGTGGTATGTCCGACAGTTTAGAGTCAGACACAAAGTAAGCCTACACAACTGGTGTGTCACGGGTTCTAAATTGGGGCACCAGTGTGTGGAGACGGCCTGTATAATGAGGATATTTTTTGTCGCTTGCAGGTGGCGTCCACTTTAATGGAATCAGTTACACACGTTTGATCGTACGTTTGCGCATAAAATATGTAGAGAAAAGAATGGGAAAAGCTGCAAGATGTGGAGGCTTCTAAGAAGCACAAATTATCGCGTCACGAGAAAACGATAAGACAGAAGCAACCACGTGCTCCTTGGAAAATGAAGGAGTCGCTAGTCATTTGAGGGCGAAATCAAACCATAAAGTGCTGACAAGTTGGACATAAAATTAACATTCATTATTAGGCTAATTTCGACATCGGAACTCTACTGTTGCTCTGAAGTACGAACTACTCTCGACTGTTTATTTGTCCGCGTCCCACAATGAAATGGGAACGAGGTTCAGCTTCATTTTGTCTTTGAAAACAAAGTTCTAGCATGTTACTGGTAGAGTATCACATAGTATCAACAAGCATTTGAATTTAAATACTGATGGAAAAGAGGGAAGAAAACATGTCGGTAACTTCCATGGGGAAGTCGAAGGGTGGCATCACGGTGGGAATTCTTTTTGGTAGTTTAAACCAGGTCTGAAAAAGAGAATTGTTTGAGATTGGTTACGAGGTCTTTTATTTCGACGTGCTGTAGCTGATTTCTAGGGGCAGCCCTCTCGGTGTCAAACCGTTCGTGTACATTTTTCCTATAGCTCACAAAAACTTTGCGCAAAATTTAACTAGGCACCAAGCAGCAACATTGGGAGAACTCGAAGCCTTTTGCCAGGACAGGTACCTGCGTCAGGCGGTCAGTAGATTTCTATCAAATCAGGATGTTCAGAAATAATATTAGAACCATTTACATGCCTTCAAAATACATGGTGTACAACAAAAAACAAAACAGTTATGGCATTCTACATTGAGTGAACTTCCCGATCCTCCAATCTCCAAGTTCTGAAGGCAAAATCCTTGAATAAGCCATAAGAATTACGGCACAACTTGAGCGCATAAGTATTACTTGGGCCGAATGCGATTGCAGTTTATTCGTCTGATTAAATCTAGCGTACTGGTCGTTGGCTTGTTCGCTGAGTTTGGCAATTTGGTTGCAAACATTTCATTACCAATCGAAGTGACACCATCAGTGCGTTATTAGGGAGCGTAGTGGTGCGTAGCGGTGGGTTAGTGTTTGTGCGTACTACATTAGCAGCGTACTATATTAGCAAATCTTGCTAACTCCAATTCTACATTGAAACCTTCCAGGGAAAAAACGCCTGATTCAAATTCAACAATTTCCAACCTGTTAATTGTTTGCCCAATTGGAACATCACCTTTGATACTCAGGCTGCCACATGATGGAATCTCCTTTTGTTCTCCATTGGTAGCGTCCGTGTTTTGCGTCTCCAGCACTGTTGCCACAATGGATTAAATTAAATGATTCACTTGTATGTTTTTTTATTACCATAGTTTGTCTATTACATTCGACTGGTTTTACTTTACGTATATTTCTTGTTCAGATCGGCAAACCAAACTGATTACTGATTGACATTAGGTAGCATTTGTCTATCCCTGAGGGCGCATGTTTTGCTGATGCAGTCCCTGGGCCTTCCTCCGCATACTTTGTGGATTCAACTGTTTAGTGATTTCTGCTTAATCCACATTGGGTAAATGCCTTTGAGTTGATGGTGCGCATAGCACATGACACCACTTATCTTAAGTAAGGGTCCATCGGTGTTATAGTAGAAAAATCTGGAAGAACTAATCAGCCTATCATAAAACGGGAACACCCTCACTTGTCGCTCTTTGTTTCACATTTCCAATACTCCACCCGATGAGTACTCTTCAATATGGGAGCTCACCATTTGCAACTCTTGCTAGTCTACTGCAGTTCATAAGGTTATTAGAATGAAAAAAGTTGTACCGATTGTTTATGTTTGATTAAGGTGCTGCCGGTGAATACCTTATCGAGATATGTTGTCATCCTCTTTCAACCTCTTACTGGATATACACTTTTGTTTCATCCAGTACACTGATGTTTGGTTTACATACCCAAGCAAAAATTATTTTCTGCTTTGGTTGTTTCAAGGTAAGCGCACAATAGCCTCCTGGAATTTTATAATTTATCCGCCTTTTTGGAAAACGAAGTCGGGAGAAAAGGTTGCGTGAAATTTAAGCTTTTTCTTTCTTCTGCGAATGCTTTACAATCTTAAAAACATAATCTTCAGCATAATCTTAACATAATCTTAAAAACATGATTTTTGATGTGTAACTTTGTGCTTAGCAGATGACATCATTTCTTACTGTAGCTGACACAATAAACACTCCGATTCAAGTAATCAACTCAGTTATGCAAAGTGTTGAACTGCTTGACCAACAAACAATACCACAAAACTAGAAATTCTGTTCAGCTTACCGGAATATTTGATCAAAATATTGGTATCTGCAGGGTGTCTCTTTTGCGAGAAAAAGCCGTGATGCCACAACCCAATCGCATCATAAAACTGTAAAATGTTCTTCACCCAATTGTTGTGTCCCAAACAGGACGGAATTCAATATGACCAAGCCTTTGATCATTCACACATTTGTTCCTCATTAGACGGAATTCTTCTCGGTACGTCGAGATGGTGTGGATTCACTTATTACAGTCTTAATTTCTAGGTATCCGTTTTATAGGTTGTCCTTTAAGTTGTTCAGAACACATAGAATTTTGTGAAAAATATTAAACGAGGAAACATAGCTTGGTCAAATCAAACCCCACAGAGGCTCAAAATTAACCGGACCGTCGATCGAGATACATTTGTTACTAGTGAGTTTCTGGGCTTTAGCCTGTTTGACATAATGCGCAAACCAAAAATCCTAAATCCTTGGGTTCAAACATTTCCAATTTTTAGCTAACAAGAGACGCTCAGCATCAGATGAGAAAAAATTAAAAAAATAATAATGGTTGAGCTGAAGCACCACTTCGGTGCCCAGCTACCATGCCAACGGAAGCTGACACGAGGGCAGCTAGCTGCTAGGTCGCTCAAGTCTAGACAGAGCGTTCAAGATGTTGTGGTAGGACACGAACTACGGACCATCCGGTCCGTAAACTGCCTCCTTAGCCACTGAGCTATCTCGATCCCGCGTTTTACTGATATAAGGCCGGGCAACACGAGTCTCCTCCGGTTTAACTTTGGGCACACGAGTGTTTGTCAGATGGATTGCTTTCCTAAGCCGTCACATTACTGCCATCTGCAAGTCTGCCAAAGAACCGTGACTGTTTTAGAGATGGTTGTGGGTGGGTACAGGTTGATTTTCATAAATCTACCTCCACAAAGGTAGTTTTTTTAAACTTCCAACCATGAATCGAAAGGTCGAAAACTGGAGAGAAACAATCAGTCTCCAAAGTAGTGTCGCGAATGTAGAATCCAAGTGACGGAAACAGAGACCATGTGACTGAATGATATAAAAATGATATACGCCAAGCGCACCTATGGCACGGCTACCTAGAAGTACTCAACAAGAACGATTCTTCTGGGAATAAAATTTCCTAAAACTCCACGAGATTTATCCACTCTGGAAGGCATTGAGCATTCTTGACAGATGGCGCGATGCGATGGAGCCATTTACATCAATATCCATTACTTTTCATCTCAAAATGGCTACAAAAAGAGGAACAGGAGTTTGTGGAACATAACAAGTGCCGGATATGGTTCTCAAGCATTTCACTCAGAATAGGATACCCACGACATGGTGTATTGATGGGAAGTATGCAAAAACCCAATGAAGTCAGTCGAAGGCATTCGAGCAGACCAAATATGTTTCCAAGATGCTATGTAGAATCAGGCGAAGAAAAAGTTATACGTCTGCATTAAATGATAGATGCGACCCTGGATCTCAGAAGGAAAGCGCCATTGCAAGGTGCTTCTAGATGAATACTGCATTTCTCCCCTCAGTCTTATTGTAGTGGTTGCTGAATGGAGACAAAAATCAAACAGTTTTTTAACTCCATCTCGAACCCATGTGTAACACCAGCACTGAGGTTAACAACCCCTATAAACTTCACTTTTTGGTGATTTGTCAGCGTAACAACAGGAACAAGAGATTTTTCAACAGGTGAAAAGTGCAGTTCGATCACCTTCCCTTAGAAGTGGCCGTTAGCGGTTCCAAGAATGCTTTTAACCAAAAACAAAGGCGTCTAATGCACTCTACTTTTGACAGACGTATGAAGTAACATTTTACCAGGTCATGTTTCACTGAGGCA